TTCAATTAATGTATGCAGTTGCTGCATTGTAATAATGGACAAATAATTGAATAGACCCCCCCCCCTCCCCCCTCCGTCATGCCTTATTTTTTTAATTAATTAAGGTTAACTTTTTTTTTCTTTCTTGGGTTTACATACAACCTGGAACCTCTTAGGTTATTGTGTCATTGTAAAGTTAGAGCTGGTTAATTTATGCGTTAGGTTGTGAGATCAGTCATCCTCGGAGACCCAGGGGCATTCAGTCGGGTCGGGAGAAAAGGCGGGTCGAAAGTTTTCAACTACGGGCAAAAGAGCCCCTGGGTACCGACTCTCAACGAACTATTTCCAAAAATTCAAGCGGATGCCAGCTCCTGATTGGGCACAAAAAATGCTTTGTATTATTGTGCCCAATCGGCGAACAGTTTCTCCAAGGTTCTTTTTGTGAGTTCGTACACGACGGCTATTGTTTCGATCACGGATTGTCTGGCTCATGCACCAACGAAATGCACGCAGTCAGGAAACTTTCAGTTTGATATAAAATCCCCATCTGATTTCAAAATACTGTCTGCCCGAAAACTAAAGACGCCTTTCCAAAAATACAAGCCTGAGCTTACAACAGGTATTCACGCTTGCATCGGTCACGTCTTGCGTAAATATATGGGAGTTTTTAAAAGATACCACGACAGCTGACAACCACGAAAACGTCGCATGGAAAAGGGAATTCACATTTTTTCAGTTTCTATCGTGATTATTCCAACTCGATTACTTTGTCAAATACAGGCGAACTCTTCTGGAGCTTAATTTCTATCAACCATATCCAAGTTCATGAAGAAAATTAATTTTGTCATTGCTTGTTTACGTCCTTCACAAAACATGAAATTAGGCATTTTCACGGGTACTCGTGCGGTTGACCGCAAAGAAATGTACAAAAAAGTGTGATGCACGTGCAAAGATGTTGTTTTGCCTTGTCAAGCTATTGTTTATTTGACTTTCTCGTTCGCCGCCGCATCTTTAACTTGCTATTATGTCAAAAACAGAATATTCTCGGGGCAAATTGAATTGCTCCTGCTGATAGCATCCCAAACGTTTTTTCGACTCATCGGTAGTTCTTTCGTTTCTGGTTAGGAAAGTAGAAAGTAAAAGTTTCCCTTGCTCGCACAAGCTTGGTGAACGAACCGGGCAAGTGTGGCAAGACAATAGCAGTCGTGTACGAACTCACGAAAAGAACTCAGGAGAAACTGTTCGCCGATTGGACACAATATTATAAAGCATTTTTTGTGCCCAATCAGGAGCCGGAATCCGCTTGAATTTTTGGAAATAGTTCGGTGAGAGTCGGTACCCAGGGGCTCTTTCGCCCGTATTTGAAAACTTTCGTCGCGCCCTTAGCTTTCTCCCGAACCGACTGACTGCCCCTGGGTCTTCGAGGATGGAGATCAGTGCGCGCTAGGTCAAGGTCAAGTCAGAAGTTCTAGATTGATCGCGCCAGACCATCGGTTTGTGCAAACAATGCATTCATTCCGAAAGCGAGGATTTTGTTTGAACTCGCCGGCTCACAAGTTTCCAATTTCTTCCTTTTGCTACGTAAGTTTGTCATTTTGTAATTACCTTCTTACTTTGACACTATGGAATTCTGTAAATTATTTTATTTTAAAAAAAGCTACCTTTTTGAAAGTCGAGCTGCTGAATTCCAATGATGTCTGTCACGTGTATAAATTCGAGTGGGCCGTTCGCCATGCGGTCGACATCTTTATCCAGGAGTTAATTTTTGAACCTTTTGTAGTATTTTCTGCAACAAAAATTTAATTCTTAGTAAGTATATGACTATCACTGTCAAAGGCTTCTTAAAGAGCAAAATTATCTGGTGAAGGCAGGAGTAGTTCACCTTGCAAGGGCTAATTTCAGAACACAAATTACAAACTGAAGTGTCAACGTGCCTCAAGCCAAAATAGTCTTACACCTACCTTTCTGGTTTGTTATTTCTTCGTGCATTGCTACAGGTCCGCAATGTTTGCCAGTAAGCTAAGAATACAGCGCAATGGCAAAACGAACTGAACGGCAGCGAAAGGAGTATATAATAATTCGCTAGAGTTCCCAGAATCGTTCGCAACGCTAGCGAACTTTCGCGTCTTCCTTTAAAATGAGTAATTATCACGGTATTTGCAATTTGAATATGACGCCCTCCAGCAAAGCGCGCTTTATGATTGGTTCTTATCAGGCACGTGAAAACGGATCGAACTATGTTTACCATACTTCAATGAATGAGGAAAATTTGAGAATTACGGTCCAGTCTTGTTTTGACTTTTTCTCGTGGTGCTTGTACAAAAAGTCGTTAAAGTTAATAAACAAATTAGTAATGAGCGTCTAGCTGGAAGATCGAGCTTAAGCCAAGTAAACTCCCAACGGTTTACTAAACCGTTAACAAATTTTTTTTATCAAACTGGGAATTAAGGTTGAGAGTTGTTTTTAGTTTGTCTCGTGGTGTTTGTACAAAAAGTTGATAAAGTTAATAAACAAATAAGTAATAAGCGTCTGGGAGATGGAGGTTAAGGGCCTGTTTACATGGAGTGGGGGACCCCGGTCTAGTGGGGTTGGTTTCTTTTGTTTTCACGCTCTGGGGGACACAAAACAATAGAAACCTACCCCACTAGACCGGGGTCTCCCACTCCATGTAAACAGGCCCTAAGCCAAAAAAAATTCCCAACGGTTTGCCAAACCGTTAACAAACTAAGCCACACTTTAACTTAATTTAGAAGCAGTATTTTTTATTTTATTTTATTATTATTATTTTTTTAATCACAGGGGGTGCGGCTTAAACGGATTTAAAACAAGCGCGTCTGAAGTCAAAGTTACATTGTTACATTTGGACTGAGGATGAGATGGGCATGTGTATCACTAATTAATTTTTACATAAGCTCGGGTTCTTCTGTTCTTTTTTTTTGCGGGGGGGGGGGGGGGGAATATATTACATAACCACCGAATCAACTGTCTGAAAAGCTGGGCGCGACTTTCATTGTTTGAAGGGAAGAGCGGAGCTAATGAACAGCTAATTAAAATGCGAGGGGATTATGTATTAATATGCAAGGGGATAAGTGACTTATTCCCCTTGCATGTTAATACGTAATGCCCTCGCATTTCAATTAGCTTTTCACAAAGAAAAAAATCACAAATGTTTATTGGAAATATTCAGAACACGACGCTTTACACACCTCCCGCGCAACCTTATCCCCAGGACTTTTCCTTTTCAGGGTTCCATCTAGGATTTATCGTTTGGGGGGGAGAAGTCCCCCCCCAGCCCTCCGGGGCTGGGGAAATGCCCCCTCCGGATTTGAATATGTGCTGAGATGCAACAGGTGAATTTTGAGATAAAATTTTGAGAAATGTTACAGTGTGTGCACTGACCTCGTCACGTCTCGATGATTTTTCCAATATAGTTACTGTGATAACAATATTTTTTTTAGGGGCGGGGCGGGGGGGGAGGGGTCTGGGCATACGGGGGGAAGATAGTACCCCTCAAATACCCTAGATAGAACCCTGCTATATTGTGACATATATAATTAATCCAGTCAAACGCCTTTTCTGAATATGAACACTGATGGGGGGCATAAACAGTATCTGTATTACCGGGGTGTCGGTACAGAAAACTTTAGGGCAACATCCCTCTGGGACAAAGCAAGCTGCTCGTAATAATGAGGGGGTCCGTGTTAAGGGGGTGTCGGCGTAAGGCGGGGTTTCTTTGTGAAAGACTTGTGATTGAAAAAAAAAAAAAAGAAAAGAAAAGAAACAAACAGGGAGAAGACGAAAAAGAAAACGTATTTAGGCTCGTGTGTCGGTTTTGCGATCTATTGCTTTTCAAAGAACAATATAGCTACTGCAAGGAAGAAAGAAAAAGAAAATTAAGAACGGACAGAAGAAATTTTATTTTAAAAGTTGGTTCAACCTCATTGGTAAGCTCCTTTTAGCAAATAAACAACAGCAAAAAAAAAAAAAACGTAAGACTTGTAAAGGGGGTTGAAGAGGGGAAGAGGGGGGGGGGGTGGGGGGGCTATTTAATGACACTTGTCATCGTTGTGCAGAAGCCATTTATCACACGTGATATTTCCTCCCCGCAGTGTTGTTTTTTGTCACGCAAAAATTAATGTTGACACAAGCCGGGCAATTCACGCATACCAGCAATTCATGAATGCTTTCACTTTATAAATTCCAGTTTTCTTGCAAGAGCGCCAGTTTACTGAGGTTAACGTTTATCCAGCTCTTCATGGCTCAGGTTCCAGTTCAATGTTACATTTTACTCGCCTTTCTCAGTCGATTGTTATGCCTTGCCTCAGGTAAGCCGTACTTTATTTAATTACTGTTAACTGCATTCTACGTGACTAAAGCGAGTATGTTTGTGAATAAAGCAAACAGTCGTTCATGCGTTTATATCGCAGAACCCCAAGGTTTAAGTTACTGTTTATGATCTCTCAAATTGTAGAAATAAGCAACGCTTAAAAGAACCAAGTCAATCAACTATCAAGAGCGAGATTACCATGATTACAACTCAACATCGCCACATGGAACGCGAACAGTTGCTCTTGAGAGGCCCAGCAATAGGGAATTGTAACAAACAGATCTCTATGTGGGCTAGAAAGGTTAAACCAAAGATAAATCGGCAGAGAAAGTTACAGTTCGCCGGAGGCCATCAGTTGATGGGCTCCTGAATTTGCTAATTGATTCTTACTCCTCGCTCCAAATCTAACCATTTCATTGATCGGTCACTCATATTACTTGTCCCGTAGCAATTCTTTTATTTATCGGTTTCTATGGTATAAATTTTAAAATCACGTAAAGCTTTCAGCATAATGTTTTTCTCACAATTAAATCCGCACATTATTCGTTGCTAATTAGTCTCTTATTCTGTAAGTGAAAAAAAATGCCATTTTGAAAAGTAAATATTTACTTAGTGTCATATGATCATCTGCCATCTGGTTGAGCTTACCTACCAGCTACGATTGAAATTGCTCCTTCTAAAACTTCGCAAAGTCTGAAAGACTGGCGTCCGGGCCTTGCATTTAACGGCCTAAAAACATTATTCCTTTAATTGTCTTCCCTCATTCAGGGACACTCAACGAGAATATAGTTCAAAACCACTTAAATATAGCATTGTTAAACGTATTTTAGTATTTAAACGGTAGATATAGGTTGGAATATTTTTATCACCTAAACATTTTTGACCCGTTCGGTTTTCCTAGCTGAAAGTCTAGTGATCCGAAAATTATAGGGATCAAAACTTACGTTTTCGAAAATTTCAGCCAGACAAAAAGGCTCCCGAAAATTCTAGATGACCTTTTTACGGTAAAAATCCGTTATTAATGGGCAATTACACCATTTTTTAGATGTTCGAAAATAATAGGAGAGGTAGGCAAGCAGGAAATTTTACAACAATTGTTCCGAAAATTCTAGATCTCAAATCGTCTTCCGAATAGATATTTTCCGAAAATTGACGGTGGGTGCCCCTGCTCATTCCTTAGCTCATAATTTCTAACGCCTCTCCTTCGAGAGATAGATCCAAACTTTGACTTCACAAGGAGATATTGGATATTGATACCTCGTACGTACAGTTTAAGGGAGGTGGCTAGCCCCATCAGAGACAAAGGTACAATGTAAGTGCTCGTTGTAGAGAGGAAGCAGTTATCGGAAGGTCAATTTTGCGTAGAAGAAATGCTGAATGTGGTGTACTGAGAAAACTGAAAACAAATAAAGTAAATGCAAGGAGCGGAAGTCTGTATGCATCAGTTTGCACGCTGTACTCTTCTTCATAAATAGTCGTTGTAGAAAAGTCATTTGGGCCGTTGGAACGCAAGTAATTGGCCTTTACGTGGAATCATATTTTTTTCAAGGGATTGCAGTTTCGAATTATATCAATTGGAAACGCGGTAGATAAATCACCCTCCATGACATTACCTTTACGAAACTTAACCGCAGTAAAAAGTCATGTCTTCGGTGCCAATACAAATTTCCCCGGATTTAGAGTACGTGGCTGTCTTCGCACTACGTATTTTTTTTTTTTTTTGGCAAAGAAAAAAAACCTGTCAACAGGTAGCCATTTCTACCAAAATTTTTGCAACTGTCATCAAACTTCAAAGATGCTGTCGAGAAGCTATGGAGGCCTACAACTTCTGGTCAGGCGACAATCTTATCTCGCGAACATGACCAATTCAAGTTTCTTTAATTGACGCTTTCGGTCAGACGAAAAATTTTGCGTGTCTCACATGCTAACAAGGTTGCAAAAATGAAAAATTGGTGACACCAAACTCTATTTTTCTTCGCAGTGTGAACAGGGCCTATCTCTGGCAGCTTGTCGTCCTTTCACCACAACGCCAGAGGGAATGTCCTGTCCAAAAGCCGTGCACCTAAAAAACCATTGCCGGCTGACATAACTACGGTAGTTTAGTCTGGTAATCCAGTCTAGTCTGCGGGGTCTAATCTCTAGTCTAGTCTAGTCTAGTCCGGTATAGTCCAGTCTAGTCTAGACTGTAGTCTATTGTAGGCGAGTATAATCTAGTCTGGTACATGTAGTCTTGAAAGTGGACTTGAATGCCCCTTCCTGCCACTGAAGGCTAGCAATACAGGGCCGAGGAACACAGAAATAGCTTGCTTGAATAAGGTTGCGTTTTGAAAGAAACCTTTATGTTGAGAAAAAAAGTAGAGCCTTCCTTAGCCTTCTGATGATTTATAGATGTTTAAGATTCATATTTCCATTTAGAAGCGAGTGTGCGTAGTTGTTGCATAAATTATGCAATAATTATGCACACCGCCTCTACGCAATGGCGAGCCACGGCGTGACTTATGACGTGATGGGTATAACTTTCGTTTCAGTTTGGGTGTTGTGGCACATTACACGAAGTATTTTTTTTGTTGTTGTTTAGGGTGTGGTGTAAGACCTCCTTTACCACGAGTCATCGGCGGACGTGACGCCCCACGGCATTCATGGCCTTGGCAAGCNAAGGTTGCAAAAATGAAAAATTGGTGACACCAAACTCTATTTTTCTTCGCAGTGTGAACAGGGCCTATCTCTGGCAGCTTGTCGTCCTTTCACCACAACGCCAGAGGGAATGTCCTGTCCAAAAGCCGTGCACCTAAAAAACCATTGCCGGCTGACATAACTACGGTAGTTTAGTCTGGTAATCCAGTCTAGTCTGCGGGGTCTAATCTCTAGTCTAGTCTAGTCTAGTCCGGTATAGTCCAGTCTAGTCTAGACTGTAGTCTATTGTAGGCGAGTATAATCTAGTCTGGTACATGTAGTCTTGAAAGTGGACTTGAATGCCCCTTCCTGCCACTGAAGGCTAGCAATACAGGGCCGAGGAACACAGAAATAGCTTGCTTGAATAAGGTTGCGTTTTGAAAGAAACCTTTATGTTGAGAAAAAAAGTAGAGCCTTCCTTAGCCTTCTGATGATTTATAGATGTTTAAGATTCATATTTCCATTTAGAAGCGAGTGTGCGTAGTTGTTGCATAAATTATGCAATAATTATGCACACCGCCTCTACGCAATGGCGAGCCACGGCGTGACTTATGACGTGATGGGTATAACTTTCGTTTCAGTTTGGGTGTTGTGGCACATTACACGAAGTATTTTTTTTGTTGTTGTTTAGGGTGTGGTGTAAGACCTCCTTTACCACGAGTCATCGGCGGACGTGACGCCCCACGGCATTCATGGCCTTGGCAAGCTGAGATTCTGGAAATCCGTGACGGGGAGTGGATCCACAAGTGTGGGGCGTCCTTGATTCACCCGGAGTGGATCGTTACAGCAGCTCATTGCTTATTTACACCAGATCCAAGGATTTACAAGATTGTGTTAGGTTTGTAGAAGATTTAGGACCTTTGAGGTTTAGTGGGTGGAGAAAGGGGTGTTACTGAGTCCCGATTTACCAAGTACATGTAATAACATGAAGTGCTTTTCTAATTTGGTATGCGCCCCTCGGTCGACTCAATTCAAGGACCGGACCTAAGCAAGGGCGTGGTATTATGTTTGCAAAGGTAAATTTAGGAATATGCTATTTGCCTGCTATCCAGTTCTAACGCCTATACTGTTATCAAGTTTTCCCACAAAGCTGCATTTACGAATTCCGCCCCTAGCAATTGCATCCTGTGTACCATAAAGCTCCTCCATTTTTTTTTTCTAAATTACAAAAGTTTATTTACAAACTTCCTTAAAGAAGAATGCAGTTTTGCACGTTTGCCTTTTAACTTAACTTTGCTTTTTTTCGTTTTTGTGTTTGTTTGTTTGTTTATTTGTTGTTGTTGTTGTTTTTTTTTAACAGGTGAGCACGATCGCACTAAGGACGAGGGAACGGAGCAATATTTCGATGTATCACAGTTATACCTTAATAAACATTTCCAAACGTACAGTGGTTACGGTCACGACATCGCTCTTATCAGACTCTCCAGGCCGGCGATACTAAACCGATATGTTAGCCTTGCTTGCCTTCCGAGGCCGAACGAAAGAGTGGCTACTGGCAAGTTATGTTATCTTACAGGTAACGCACATTTAAAGGTTGTAATGGTGATTTCTTGGCTTAAGATTTCTTTAAGTTGGGTCACACATCACTTAGATGGCTTGCTGACTTACTTTTTGACACGATGGGAAAATAAATCTCTAAAAAAGTATGTTTCCCCCATCCTTAAGTAGTTCCAACACATATCGTATACAAGGCCCTAAGAGGCATTTAATCGAACAAGTCAGGGGGGTCTGATCCCGTCCCGGGGAAAGTCTGGAGAGAGTTTGCTTTTGAACTTTCACCAGTCATCACTAATATCTCTAATGCCTCGATGGTACAAGGATAGGTCCCTGTGTTTCTTAAGCAATCCGAAGTTGTCCCTGTACTAAAATGTTCGCCACCCAAAGTAGTTGAACAAGATCTTCGGCCTATTTCTCTCACGCCCCATATTGCAAAGGTCATGGAAGGGCTTACGCTGGATTCCCTCTTCAAGCAAGTCTGTGACAAGCTCGACACCCACCAGTTTGCCCTGGCCGCGAAGTCCACAACTCACGCTCTTGTTTTCTTTCTCCAAGTCATCCTTGAGGCCCTTGGCCAATTTGACACTTATGCACGCATCTTCTTACTGATTTCAGTATAAAGGTTTTGAGGTTTAGATTTAGTCGATGACAATATCCTTATCCAAGAAATGGACCTGCTGGGCGTGCATGAGGCCACTATCAGATGGATCGGCTCTCTTTTAACGGGCCATTCACAAATAGTGGCAATCGGTCAGGTCAAGAGCCATAATAGGACAGAGAGGGACACTCCCAGTCACGCCTTTGGGATATCTTAATCCCAAAAAAGTTATTTTTAGAACTATGCGGACCATACGGAAACAGTTTCCGGTAACCTGGTTGACTTCCGGAAGGTTCAGCGCCAAAGCGAGGCCGGGTCAATAAATGAATAAAATGGCTGCCTAAGTGGAGGGATGATGTGGAGGGTTTGTACTTGATAAATTGTCCTTCTTCAACGACGAACCTACCATAGAAACTGGTTAAAACTTCTACACAAACGGATCCTTTACAAGAAACGGTAGAAATCGGTTAAAGCGACCGCGTGACCATCGTTTTTGTTTGAACAGCTGGAAAGAGGACAAGTAGCATTGCGGCCGGATAAGCGTTGCACACAAAACACGCGGGTCCTACAAAGACGACCGTACAAGCGACCATGTGGACGTATTTTCTATTGAAAGAGGAAGGAGAGAGCGTATAAAGGTTTCCAGTATTTTTGTCAAGGACATGACCAGGGATCATGTGGAAAACACCTTTTCCTGCTTTGACTGATATTTTGTACCGTGCTTCACATTGGACAATAACAATTAAGCACTTTAATATTCTTGAACACGAGGTGAATAGAAGCGGAATATTTGCGGCGAGGTTAATATTCCTAAAGCCACTGTTCACCAAGATTAAAAATCAGTAAGGAGACCATTTAAGTTCAATTTGATTGACGGTTTTGACGGATCAATTCATGTGTGAAAATCGGTATGTGCAAAAGTTTGATCTTTACAGAATTTTCAAACAGTGCAAATCAAATCGCAGTTAAAAAATCCTTTCGCAAACAATGGCCTAATGGGTTATATGGAATCGCCAGAACTTTAAATTCTGCTTCCCAGCCTGTGAAGAAAAGAAGAGCTTTGTTTTCATCTGTCGACTCGCCAAGTCAGGGAAAAGGTTTCTTGTGCAGCTTGTGTTGTTCTTTAATAAGTGCAGACAATGGTGGCCCGGTGACTCGAGGTAAGGCGCCGTTTCTCTGTAGTTTTCTTGACAATTTCGTAAAGATTTTCTTTTATTTTTTTTTTCTAAGTTGAATTTGATTTCTGGGGAAAATCCGCCTTTGAAGGAAACGTTGAGTTTACAAAACCATCTCTTCTATTCAATTAAACTGTAATTGTCAACATTCCATCGAGCGAAAAAATGGACCCTAGGACTTTGCCGAATTCTGAAAGGTTCTTACTCTAAAAAAGACTGGCAAAACACCGATCTAACGCATTAGTTACTCGCGAGTCTAAAACACTACAAAGACCACTGAGTGTGTATCCTGAAAACTATTTTTGCTTGTAAAAGCTTTATTTGTGTAAGGTTATTTGTGTTTTTTCATGTTGCAAACGGTGTTGAAATAAATACGACAGTATGATAATCTCATCTGGAGTTTATTTACTTTATGTGGTTTTACCAAGCCTCATATTCTCCTCATAGACCTGTAATAATTAACCTTTACAGATCCTGCACCAAAATATGTAGGTAAGATTTCCATACAACCCCAAACATTTGTTATGTGTGTTAAATAATATAAGCTTGCTGCATGTATAATAAATGTAGGGGTTTGACTGCAAATCGTACCACAGCATAATTCAAGCTTCAGGCATTCATGAATGCATAGGACCTTTTGATGTTGTGTTTGCCACTTATTGATCCAGCAAGTTTTCTCTATTTTAGTAAGCACTTATGGTTTTAGGTGTTGGCTGCTGAATGTAGTGTTTTTTTTTTCATTGTAGAAAGCTCTCAAAAGTATGAAGAATAAAAACTACTGCAATAAGTTCAAACTGTGTATAGCTTCTTGCTGAGTTGTGTCTTATTTTTTATACCCCCCTTCCACACAGAAAAAAAATACAAACCTAATTACTCTTTTTCTATAGTGTACGGCGAAACCTGTATATTTAAGCCGACTCCATATTAAAAGTTACATCCTATGTTAAGCAGATGAATAGCTCAGTGTGTTTGAAAAGTTTCTAACCATATTTTCAGAAAAACAATGTTTTCAAAAATAAATGCATCCATACCCATTTTAAGGGGTATTTTCTTTGGGTTAAAAGGTTTCAACCAATCATAAGAGCTGCAAACAATAGCCAACTGAAGAAAACTTTACATTAATTTTAAGTTCCTGACATGGGATATCTGTTTTATTCAGACTCATAAGAATTTGTTATAAGGATTCATATACATGCTGCTTTGCAAAGTTTTCTTGAATTTTGCTGCCTAAACGAATCAGAAGTATTACAGACAATAGTAAAGTGAGCACCTTTTTGCATTTCAACATGTTTAAACATTGACTTTATTAATATTAATGTTGCATTCTAATGCTCTTAAAGCCGAGTCTGCAGGCAGAGCAAGTTTGTGTAATCTTTTGCTTTTAAGGCATCCTGCACCGTGACACCCCAATCTTTCCCTTTAAATAATCTAAGAAACTCACATGTTGGCCTGCACATTATGATTGATCAGGGTAGGCCTCGTGCAACCACTAAGATATCACAGGAGATTTAGGCTGTTATTATCAGTTAAGCTGATCAGTATAGGTGAGCATATGACCTTCATTGAGGAAGGCTTTAAGTTAAAAATGGCAGTATCAAATTAAAATAAAAATCAATAAGAACTTCCTTTGGTCACACCTTGACCTCTTAATTAGGTCAAGTTTCTTTTATTGGTGAGTTAATCAATTCATGCATCTGCATGGGTTGCATTGAGGGAGACATTCTGGAACAATAAAACAGTGTGTGTGACTGAATCAATGTATCTATTCATGCCATGGCTTGAAAGAGGCAATGTCAAGGAAAGCATCTAGAGGTAGACAAATTAATATTAATGTATTGTGTACAATAACATGTGTGTCACTCAGTTGGTCACACTCTTCCCAGTACTCCTCAAATTTCAAATCCCAAATGCTTTGGCAGCCACATAGTTTAACAAAAGTATAAAAAATAAGTAATGAATAAATAAATAAGTGCTCCCTTGCCCCAAAATATAGAACTTGCACTGTTTGTCAAGCCTGCACATTATTTTCCCCACTATTAATTCCGTGGCAAGGTCATCCAGACATCTTAAAAGATAATTCATGATTGCTAGTAGTATTGTTCCTTTAATTCAACCTGTCAGAAAACAACAGAAAAGTTTGCAGATACTGAAAGACATATAGACTGCAAGCAGTCTCTCTTTTGCTCGAGAATCTGTAAGGGAGAGTATTTGAGCAGCATATTCGAATTTGCACCCTCACAACTCACGGGACTTCGCTGCTCAAATACTCTCGCTTACAGATTTTTGAGCTGAAGAGAGACTGCTCACAGTGTAAAAGACATACAACATAAAAATGATGTACCAGTTTTATGAAACCTTTACATGTAGTATTTTATATTATACCTTCAGGGGGGAGCCAGCCTGGCATAAGGACTCAGTTCTTCTCTCTTTGCACCCTCACTCATCCTTCTTTTTACCATCTATTTTTATGCATATGAGCTTGTTATAAATAAAAAAGAAAAACTTGTATAATTAGAATTAGGCAGACATCCACACAAAATTTGCTGCTTTCTGCTTATCAGAGATATCCACTAAATACAGGTTTGTTTTTCTTAAATCATAGAAAGAAACGTTTTGCCACATTTTGAGCTATTTGACTGCTGAATACAGGGTGTCTGCTTCATATGGGGTCTGCATAATACAGGTTTCACCATACAATGTAGAAAATGAGTTAATTAGCCTTTCACTGAGGAGGGGAGGTACAAGAAATAAGACATAATTATAAACAAGAAGCTATACAGAGCTTGAACGTATTGCAGTAGTTTATATTCTTAACACTTCTGAGTGCTTTCTATAGAGAAAAAAAGAAAAGACTACATTCAGCAGTGGACACCTAAAACCATGAGTGCCTAAAAAGTAGACAAAACTTGCTGGATCTATAAGTGGCAAACACAACATCAAAAGGTCCAATGTGCATCCAAACCTCTACATTTGTTATCCATGCAGCAAGCTTATATTATTTAACACACATAACAAATGTTTGGGGTTGTATGGAAATCTTACCTATACATTGTGGTGCAGGATCTGTAAAGGTTAATTATTACAGGTGTATGAGAAAACTATGAGGCTTGGTAAAACCACAGAAAGCAAATAAACTCCAGATGAGATTATCATACTGTCGTATTTATTTCAACACCGTTTGCAAAATGAAAAACACGAATAACCTTACACAAATAAAGCTTTTTTAAGCGAAAATCGGTTTCAGGGTACACACTCAGTGATCTTTGTAGTGTTTTAGCCTCGCGAGTAAATAATTCGTGAGCTCGTTGTTTTGCCAATTTTTTAGAGTACGAACCTTTGGAATTCGGCAAAATTCTAGGTTCCATTTTTTGAAGGTATGAAAGGACTTCAAAGTTGCAAAAGACCGTTTTCAGATTAACTTTAGCAGTATTTTTTGCTCGATGGAATGTTGACAATTACAGTTTAATCGAGTAGAAGAGGTGTGTAAACTCAACATTTAAAGACAAATTTTCCCCCGACATCAAATTCAACTGACTTATGAGGAAAAAATGAAACCAAATCTTAACGAAATCTCGAGATTTCAGTTATAAATTAATCAGGACCGAGAAAACTACAGAGAAACGGCTCCTTACCTCGAGCAACCGGGCCACCATTGTCTGCACTAACGAAGAACAACACAAATTAGCTGCACAAAATACCTTTTTCCCTAACTTGGCGAGTCAAAGCGCTACTTTTCTTCTTAGGTTTGGAAGTACAATTTACAGCTGAATTTAAACTTCTGGCGATTCCATGTAACCCATTAGGCTATTGTTTCCTATTTGATTTGCAATGTTTGAAAATTCTGTAAAGATCAAACCTATTGTTTACTGAATATTAACCTCGCCGCGAATATTCCGCTTCTATTAACCTCGTGTTCAATAAAGAATAATTGCTAATTGTCCAATGTGAAGTGCGGAACAAAATATCAGTCAAGCAGGAAAAGGTGTGTTCCACAAGATTCCCGCCTTCCCGGTCATGTCCTTGACAAAAATACTGGAAACCTTTATACGTTCTTTTTCTTCCTCTTTCCATAGAAAATACGTCCACATGGTCACTTGAACGGTAACGCTTATCCGGGCCGCAATGCTACTTGTCCTCTTTCCAGCTGTTCAAACAAAAACGATGGTCACGGGGTCGCTTTAACCGATTTCTACCGTTGCTTATAAAGGACCCTTTTGTGTTGAAGTTTTAACCAGTTTCTATGGCAGGTTCTTCGTTGAAGAAGGACAATTTATCGACTCCACATCGTCCCTCCACTTGTGCCGCCATTTTTTTATTTGTTGACGCCGCCTCGCTTTCGCGCGCTGAATCGTGAAAGCGAGTCTTCCGGAAGTCAATCAGTTTACCGGAAACTGTTTCCGCGTGGTCCGCATAGTTCTAAAAATAACTTTTTTGGGATTAAGATATCCCGGCCAACGCCCTGAGTGTCCCTCTCTGTCCTATTATGGCTCTTGGTCAGGTTTATTCGCATCCAGTTACACCGAATGGGGGAATACCACAAGGAACAATCTGTGTAGGGACTAAAGATATAGGATTAAATACGTTGATGACACCTCGGTATGTGAATCTATTCCTCGATGTTCGCCTAACTACCTTCCATTTATTGTTGCAAATATTGACACCTACGCTTCCATGAGTAACATGCGGCTTAATGAGAAAAAGTGTAAAGATATGGTTATCAATTTTTTGAAGTATCAATCCACTGTTATAACACCGATTCAGCTTAATGGTATAGTCATTGATAGAGTATCCAGTTACAAACTCTTGGGAGTTATTATCTCTGATGACCTCTCTTGTATCTATAAAAAAAGCTACTAAGCGATTGTCTGTGCTGCGGACCCTCAAGAGAGTTGGACTGGGCACTAACTATCTCGTGTTAGTCTACTGTAGTATTGTTAGATCCATTGTTGAGTAGGCCTCGCCAGTTTGGGCTGCAATCCCTTTATATCTGGACGACTTAATTGAGTCTGTACAGCGGAAACCTCTCAACATAATATTTGGCCGGGTGGACTATACGGACGCCTTGATCTTGGCCGGCCTGGGGTCTCTTGGTGACAGGAGAGTAGGAGCTTGTAAGCAGTTTACGGCTACTGCACGCCAAATGTCCCCCCTTAAGAACATCATCCCCTCTCCTGCCGCTATTGAGTCTCATTACAGTATAAGGGTCCAACTTCCAAGACGTCAACATGGTCAAACCAAAAGAATTAAAAATAATGACTTTGTAACTTATAATTTCACTGAATGTATGTAAATGGTTAATTGTATGGGACAATGACCTCCCCCAACAATTCAGTTATTGCTGCAAGTGGGTGAAATAAACAGACTATAAAACTATCTATCTATCTATCCATCCATCCATCCATCCATCCATCCATCCATCCATCCATCCATCCATCTATCTATCAATCAATCAATCAATCAACGCTGGTAACGCCTAAATGAACTAAACTATCATCCCGTCCTTACCCGGCGCGAGGCTTAATTCTCACCCGACTAACAAGTAAAACTGGAGAAAAAAAGGGCTTAGTTTGGAAGATTGTCCGTTCTTATATTTCTTGACTATAATATTCTTGGCTGCCTTCAAGACTCAAGGAGAGGCGAAAAGAAAAGTATGAAGATGCGTGTAATCATGCTCCAACGAGCACAGATCTTCGATCATGAAAAGTGCTTCTGATCACCGGGGAAGGCTAATTATTTTCTGTAATTAAAGAATACATTTTCACTGGGACGTGTTTCATATACGACTTCAAAAATTCACTTACTTTGTTTCTATTAAATCTAGTTCAACAAACTTTTAACTGCAAAAGTATAAAAATTCTGAAGGTAACTTTGACTAAGTCAAATCAATAAAGACAGAAATGAATGAAAAGAAACGAAAATAAAAGACAAAAACTCGTTTTGCAGGTTGGGGGGTACAAGTTTACGGAGGATCTAAAGCTGACATTTTGCAACAAGCTCAACTGCTAACGGCGAACCACTCGACATGTTCAAATGGAAACTCGCATTTCCAGCCGATCGATGATGAGTCTATGCTTTGCGCCGGGGATCCGAAAGCAAGTGGGTGCAATGGAGACAGTGGCGGACCCCTAGTTTGTGAAGAAAGCGGGAAATATGTCCTAAGAGGTGCCGTAAGCTGGGGTATCCCCAAGTGTCCAGGCGGGGATACATTCTCTGTGTTTACGCGAATAAGTTCTTTTATTACTTGGATTGAAGATCATATCAAGAACAGTGACATGTATTAGTCTGGGCATAATTTGATTACATTTTTTTTAACAAAAGTGAATCGAACATGAAAATATGGCGAAAGGGTGGAAGAAGAACGTTTAAGCTACAATCATCTACAATAGGCGATCGACAAATAAAAATTGTTGAGCGAGAGAACAACAACAATACTTATTTTTACTCAGTCTTGTTCTACAATAAATTAAAACAACAGAAATATTGAAAGAAAAATTAGAGTACTGGCTACTTGGAATAACCATAGGGGCTAGCGAAGCCAGGTAGCTAGTTGACCTCAGCATTAAACAGAAATAAATTACAGGTAAACAATCTACACCTCCTCCTCTCTCCCCTCCATTCAAAGTAAGGACCTTAAGATCCGACGACGGCGACGGCAGAGAAAACGTCGCTGAAAAAGTGAATTCGCGTCCTTTCAATCTTCATTGCGATTACTCCAAGTCACTAATTAACTTTTTCAAAATTAATGTAGGCGAACCCTCCTAAAGTTGAATTCCTAAGAATCACATCCAAGTNAGGTGCCGTAAGCTGGGGTATCCCCAAGTGTCCAGGCGGGGATACATTCTCTGTGTTTACGCGAATAAGTTCTTTTATTACTTGGATTGAAGATCATATCAAGAACAGTGACATGTATTAGTCTGGGCATAATTTGATTACATTTTTTTTAACAAAAGTGAATCGAACATGAAAATATGGCGAAAGGGTGGAAGAAGAACGTTTAAGCTACAATCATCTACAATAGGCGATCGACAAATAAAAATTGTTGAGCGAGAGAACAACAACAATACTTATTTTTACTCAGTCTTGTTCTACAATAAATTAAAACAACAGAAATATTGAAAGAAAAATTAGAGTACTGGCTACTTGGAATAACCATAGGGGCTAGCGAAGCCAGGTAGCTAGTTGACCTCAGCATTAAACAGAAATAAATTACAGGTAAACAATCTACACCTCCTCCTCTCTCCCCTCCATTCAAAGTAAGGACCTTAAGATCCGACGACGGCGACGGCAGAGAAAACGTCGCTGAAAAAGTGAATTCGCGTCCTTTCAATCTTCATTGCGATTACTCCAAGTCACTAATTAACTTTTTCAAAATTAATGTAGGCGAACCCTCCTAAAGTTGAATTCCTAAGAATCACATCCAAGTTGAGAAAGAGAGAGGAAATTTCGTCGTCGCTTGTGTACTTCTTCTGTACATCGTGAAAATAGGCATTTTCACGTCGTAGTCGTGCAGTGACGGCAAAGAAATGTACAAAAAAGCGTGATGTACGTGCAAATTTGTTGTTTTGCTAATTAAACGTATTGCTTTTGTGGCGTTCCCGTTGCCGTCGCCGTCGTCGGATCTCAAGGTCCCTGGTTTAAGCACCGGTACAACATTGCATGGAGGAGATGTGGAGGGGAAAGATTTTTTCCCTTTTTAAAGTCGGTAAATCATCAGAAAGGCCTTTTAGAGCAAAGTGCCTCCATTAATTTTGAAGTTGATTGTCGCTATCACATCAAGAGTTAACTTCGTTGTTGTTATTCAGCTCAATTTTGAGTAAGAAGGAACAATCACTTGTTGTAGTGTGCGGTTAGAAAACGTCAGCCAAACGAGAAAGATGTCTAGTATTTATGGTAGTTATGTTAGGATGATGATGACGATAATGATGATAATCATGGCGACAACGACAACGATAACGACAACGACGACGACCACGACGGCAATATGATGATGATGATAACGACGATACATGCTTTCACGACATTGTATTTCTGACTTCCTTTGATAAAAAGCTTTTCAACACGAAATCCCCTCGTCGTTTACCAAGGAAAAAGGGGACTTTAAGGTAAACCGTTCCTGCCTACGGGTAGGGTGGGTGGACATGTATGCTACGCAGTTATACAAAAGGTGACACGATGACTTTCCAGATATGACAATAGCAGCACCGCTCAACCCGCTGGCCTACCAGTTTCTCCGGGGTAAGATGCCATCTACTAGTATTTCAGAAACGTTATATCTTAAGGTCTCTAATATCAGCGCAGCAGAGGAAAACAACGAGTATTTGGTTTTCAATGTATTCTTTATTTAGTCTAATCTGCAATCTACATAATGCAAAAGAACGATATTCCTTGCAGCTTCAGGAAACTGAGGTCATTTGTAAATTCCTTCGAATATTGCACTGCAAATAGATCAAAGATGATAATTGACTATGAATAGCAGTTCTGCCAATATGTAAAATACGTCACTGTGATGTCACGTAGCCCATGACAACTGACAGTCAAAACAAGAAACAGGACCCTAACGAATCAACAACTACAAACAAACGACTTGAGCAAACGAAACGACATTACAAACAAACAAAGCAAAGTTATAAACAAACTTAACGAAGCTCTCATATTCCCAAATGCCTCCGCCAAATTAGGTTGACTTTATTAATGACCCATAACTTTATAAACTGACACGTTAAATTAATATTGTACTGATTATGAAGTGCAATTAACATCTTAAAGTTTACATAGTATTTAGGCATATGTTTAAAAGAAGAAGGAGAGTTCAAACACCAGAAGCTCAGGAAAATTTTCCGAGCTCTAGGTGAGAATGGCACTCACTGACCCTCTCAGTTCCACTTCGGACGATCTAACCATTAAGCTACTGAAACTTTAAGCAGCAGGGTCCAAATTTAAATACTAGTACTCCAGACTTTTTTGTATGTCTTTAAGGGTTAAAATGTTTTTAAACTGGAAGCTGTAGCCTTGTTGTTGAACACCTCTTGTGTTGTAGGGCCTAAAATAACCTTTCAAACTATGTGTTACGTTTAACTTAAAATCACACTCACCCTCAGAAGCCCTCAACAATAGCCACAAGTCTTCAAACAGTTTTTATCAACATAGCCATGCTGGCCACAGTGCGCCTTCCAGCCAGGGCATCCGTCATCCTTGTCAACGCAAGCTTCAAAACGCAAGCAGTGGCATTAGCAATTGTTAATATCAATCGCGTCGCTTCTAAACACATTGATACGGTCAAACCAGGTAAAGTGTTCGCATCCAGCCAAATCAAGAGAGAAAAAAACTAACTTCTAGTAAAAAGCATTTCTCATAATCGCATCAGGCTAATCTCGAGATGTTTACGCAATACAGCCTGGACTTATCCACAAAAACACCTCATTCCGGTAGAATTAGATGATACATCAGATCGTTTGTTTTAT